AGAACTTTTCCAGCTCTATCCAAAGCTTCAGCTCAACTTTGTCCTAAAATATTTTCTTATAGCTTTTTCAAAGCTCTGAATGCGGTATACTCAAAGGAGCAAGTTGGCATGACTTTCTTTTCAGTTGGCTTAGATTCACACGAAATATGCATTGAAGCTTTGTTCAAGAAAGCTGTTGTAACGAAAGCGAGAGCCTTGGGTATGATGAGAAAGGTGGTCGGATATCGGACGTTGCCACCGATTAGCCAAAAGTTCTGATTGAAGCACTCGTGCGTAAGACCATAGAGGAGGTTCTGCCCAACCTGGGCGTATATGGTTTGTAGAGCCAAGCTATACGGAAGTAGCTGGAAAGTCCAAAAAATTTGATAGGGGCGTGCCGCGACAAATCACCAATTTGAAGGGTCGTCCATCAAATTGTAGCTTGTTTTATGTGATAAAGCGACTCGTTTTTCTACAGATTTGCGACGTACAATAAAGAGCGGATTCTTCTCTATAGTCCACGAAGCTTTGCTGAATAGATCGACGGCGATGAAGCTCTACAAACTTTGCAAAATTTAAACTGTGCTGGAAGGAGGGTTGTGGCAGCTTTCATGGGGTCAGCGGCTGGCCATGTTCTTCAGTATCAGGTGGAACTGTTACAGTGGAGAATCAATCTTTATATTAATTCAAAAATCATCAAAAACTCTAGGACATGGGTCCAGCATTCCTCATTATAAAGGAACACACACATCCCTGAAAGGTGTCTTGGACGCACATCGCACGCCAACCCTGCACAAGTTGGACCAGCTGGGCTACTACGGAGTGATGCTGCAAACATCTTACTCAGTAGACCTCTGGTCTATCAACTGTCACATTTCTGACGATCTCGATAGCTTCCTTGAAGAGAAATGCATCAAAACCCAACATGATGCTAAAACGACCTTCCCTCAGTTCATCGCCTCCAGAGCTCCAGCATTCTGAACAAACGTACCCGAACGGCTTCTTATAGAGAAAGGTTCGCGCATTCGAATGGTTTTTTATCAACTCGAAAGGTTCAGTTTAAGCCGAGATACATGCATTTAAAATTCGGGTCGGAAAACGACAGAACTTTCTGAAACGCCTAATACATTAGGCGTAATCCATGAGATAAAAACAGCCAAAAGCGTCGTCAACAGGAGTGTAAGACCGTGAGAATAAAAAGAACACTCCTGTTGCGCAACAATAAAAATATTCATTGTAATTTTGGCTTAGAAGCACTCGTCTTGGAAACTCTGTCAAAAGCTTTAGACCCCATGCAACCTAGTGTCTCCGTCACCTCGCTTGTGCGAATCTGGTCTGCATTCAGCGGTGGTCAGCGGATGAAGGTGTTGTCAGCAATAAAACTGGTGAAAATCGCTGCATCCTTTTGACATTGAAATTTCCTCCCAAACATTTGGATATATGATTTTGCGAGTGCCCCCATCGACTCTGCAGATTGAATTATGGCCACAACCCGAGCGCAGATCTCAGTCGTTATCTTGAATTTCAAGTTTTTGTCTTGCGACCGATCTTCAGCTGTCATTCCCCGGCGATATGTCCGAATCGCTGGTCTCAGCACGTTGTTGCATCATCGTCATCATTCATATAGTATTCGTCTTATTTTATCCTATATTGACCTTTACCTATATCTTTTGTCTCAATTAGTACTTCACGTTTGGTTCTCGTCATTTTTCTCCCCACTGATAATTATTACCTGACGTTTTTGAATTTTTTTCCGACGTGTTCTGCATTTTGGAAGTTTGTTGGAAAATTACGCATTAAGTGTGACGCGTTGAACACTGGAGTGAACACGATCGCGACGGAACCGCACTTGAGTTCTTCAACGGTCCCCTCTGAAGGACGTCTTCGCAGCAATACAACCAATTTCAATGACAAAGGTAAGTTTTTATCATTGTTGCACGAAGCTGCAGTGAAGGGAAGCCCAAATAATATTATGAAGAGTTTCGTCTATTTCAGCAAGTTGCAACCCAGCCGACTCAACCGAACGGCTTTTCATGGTGGGTGGCGGCAGTGTTTATCATCGGAGAGACGGCCGGAAGCGGTTTGGTGGCGATGCCAAATGCCATTAGAAATACAGGTGAATTTTGCGAGACAAAATCAAAAATCAATAGCCGTGTTAGTTGACTGATAAAAATGATTAACCAGTTTCGTAGAACTCTTGCAGTTTTGAGTTCGAGCTCGCCGCAAAAGTCTAGACATCAAATATCTAGTTAATGTACCTAATGTACCGGGAACCAACCCGAAATTTTCTCTGCAAATTCAATCAGAACCAGCCGGAACCAGGTTTTTTTTTCTGCAAAGCAGGGAGTTCTGCTATCGTTAAGAAACACGCTACAAGGCAGTTGTACGAATGTCTTAGCAACCCGCACCTCAAAGCAGATCTATTCGAGATCTCCAGAATTCATTTCTTCAAAGCGTAGTGTGAAGTATGGAAATACACGCAATCAGTAGCAGTAGTCAGGGGCCAAGACAAAGACGAAATTGTGGCCTCTTCTGGCTAAAGGCAACGCCTACTTAAGAATACGTCCAGCAGGGTCTACTTCTTTCATATATAATGGACAATGAATACGCAGGCCTACAGGACGAAACATCTGAAGCTAAGATAAAGAACTCACCTGGGAAAAACACATAGGCGTTTAATCCTCAAAGATGAGGTGGTTGAAAAATTTCCTTCCGACGACCACTGCCAGCCAGATTGGCCTAAGAGACACTCGTGGCTGTTCGGACCAGAGGGCGTATTGAATCTGCCTTTAAAGTAATCAGTCTGATCCTGCCGGTTGCAGTGGAATTGCTTCTTTCTTGTGTTGTTCTAATGTTGTTATGTTATGTGGTGTTATGTAATGTTGTAATTTGTTGTTAAATGGCCACCAAGTCAATCAGTTATTAGCGGAATCAAGGCTTCCCCAGCTAAATGGAAGGGCTCCCAGGCTAAATGGAAGGGTCGAATTGCAGTAGTTTGAGGGGTGATCGAACTGTTAGTGAATGAGCTAGAGATTGCACTCCAATTGCAAGAGTTGGCAAATAGCCAACTATTATGGCTATTTGCCAGCAATTGCAATTGGAGCGCAGGTTCGGACAACTCGTCCAGCACGCGTCTTCTCTCATCGCTAAGGGCAGAGGGTGAGTTCCTGTTCAAAGCCTTATTCCAGCGTTTTTCTTTGGTTTTTCATTACTGTCGCGGTCAAATTGTGGGCTATAACTACATTATCAACGGTTTACATCGTAAATTCTTCCTGGAACTGTTGCTTTAAACCCTGAGTCCAATCCTCCCTGAACTCCGCCTATGCCTCTGTGCTCCGCCACATCAAGTGTGCTAGAAGCATCATTGCCGCCTGATATTGGTATGCGGTGATTTCACTTCGAGTGCGTCTTCCCATGAATGCATGATTAATTAAGTGAACACGCTTCAAGCGTGTCGAGATATGCTTGCAACGCACCTTCGGCGCTATTCGAGGATCTCAATCATTTTCTTTAAGCCTTCCGACGAAATGCGATTTGCCAGTAGCTTGCTCGTGGGACCACCTGTTTTTTTGGCGCGCAGCTCTCGCTCAATCATTAGGTATTGTTCTTTGATGCCAATTTTCTCTGTAGTAGTAGTTTTTGCGTGTCTCGTATGCCTGTTATAACTGCAGTTCTGGGCTTTCATACTGTAAATTATAATTAAGAAAATTCCAAATTTGGACGGGGAACTCGCGTTTCAAAGGGAAGGAGGGCAAAACCTTAAAAGTTTCTAGTGTCCAACGAGAATTTCCGGTACACTTCAAAATCCCTTCCCATATCTGAAGATGGAGCCGAGAGGAGGGCTAATCAGTAATCCAGCCTAACAATTCAAAATCCCAATTAATAAGGTGGCGAGCTAAATGGCACATTCTAAAATTCTATATAATTAGCTCTTAGAAAACATTTCTGATAGTCGTCCTAGCCATAGATATTATGGGACTTGCTTATAATTACTGGGGTGCGGTGAAAAAGTGTTTCAAATGCATACGATAGTAGGGAATTTTAATGGCCCACTTGGGTGTTTGTTGTCCCACTGCGACGCAAATTAGTGGCACCACCGAGTGGGTGCCATTTGTCGAGGATATAGCTGAAGGTGGTTATGGGAAGTACAGCCACCAGTTGGAGCAGTAGTCATGGGGCTTTAGGTACGAAAGTTGCGGCCTATCCGGCTGCCACGGCAGCACCATGTAGAATGAGACTGAGTGTGCTCGATCGGTGTTTATATAGCCGCTGTGGGTGTTATCATGATCATGACATCAACATCACGAAGTGTTGCCCTTCGTACTCCCTGGTTTTGTGAGCGGTTGGTCCGGACGGACAGAACGACACACACACCGACAAACCGACACACCAAAGTTCTGGTTTATATAATGAAGTGATACATTTGACAACTGGCTGTGTCTCTAGTAGGGTGAAGGTTGCATCAAGAGCATTTCTTTGCGTCAACACAAACATAAAGGTGTCCAGTTGGGAACTGGTAGAGCAAAAAGAACTCACCTTCAATTGAATTATTTAACTCCCTAGTTCATGAAATGCTTATTCAATACAGGTCTCATTGGTGGTCCAATTCTTCTTTGTCTACTCGCCGTGGTGACTGCTCGAACAGCTATGCAGCTAGGTAACAACTGGCTGATAATGCAGCGACGATGGCCACAGTATTTGGAACCTTGTCGGAGTCCTTACGCCGAAATGGCCTATCGATCCATTGGAGGCCGAGCGAGGTTGGGCATTGACGACGGATTTCATGTGAATTTTTTTTCACACCAAACCCGTAAACTTCTAATAAATGAACTCGTGAACCCTAATAACTAAACCACTTTCATAATATCGAAAGAAATCGAAGGATGAGTTCATACTAAATCGCTGACGTTTCAGTCAAATCGCTCATGTCCTCATCCAGATCACTCTGTTCGGTGGTGCTTCGGTGTTCTCACTCCTGGCCGCTCGTAACATCGCCGAACTGTTGCAGCTTTTCGGATATCCCATCCATTTCTGCATCAGTTTGTTTGCCGTTGCTGTGTTTCTATGGCCCTTCATGATGCTTCGAAGCCCAATGCACTTCTGGTACAATTCCCATCTTTACAGTCACTCTATGGATGGTAACATCCTTTTATAGGCAGGTATCAATCGGTGCTGCACTTTCTACAACGATCGCGGTCATCCTTATTCTTATTGGAACGTCAATCGACATTCCTGCATGCTTTCAGGTAAGCTTAATGCTTAGTCCGATTGAGACCAAATGAGCCCCGTATGTGGCACAATTATCTAGAGACCTATCTTGCCCATCTTGGATATCTGCAAGGTTACCTTCGATACACCAATGGTGTGCAAATGATGCGCTAGCCCTGGTCAAGAACATAAGAAGTGTCACTGAACAAAAAACTCACTTGGAAAGCCGCTAGAAAGGGAGTTGAACGCTTTCGAAGTGGGCGTTACGGGCATCTTCCGTAACGCCCACTTGCCAGCCGTGGAGATCGCGTGTAAACTGTACCGCTTTTTGGAATCGATTCCGCCTCCTTTTGATTAGTTCTACATGCTTAACCCATTTAATTATGGTATTTCTTTGTTTGTACTGATGCATGTTTCTGATCGTATTGGTGCATTTGCGCTTGCAGCTGCATTTCTTGATTACGTGACTACTTGAACTCTCCCCTATGTTCTCTGCCGCGAAAGGCCAGAGCACAGACGATTAGAGAACGGCGCCTGGCTCGGCTCCAAATCCCAAGAAGGAAGGTGAGAGCCCTAGGACTAAGCCTTGGAGGGAGGAGGGACTCCGAGTGGGTGAGCCAATTACATTGTGGCAAAGTTTGAATGTGTCAGATCACAGTAATCATAAGCCGCTGTTTAAGCGAGAGAGCGCAGGCGAGAGCATCAAATCGAGGCGGTTTAAAGGACTGAGTTCAAGTTGTCCGTAGAGCGCATTTCTTGCTGGCAGTTCTTGCCAGCAATAAATGGCGGCGGAGCACGCTATTTCCACAGCTCGTCCGGCCCACCCCTTCCTTGTTTCAAGAGGGAACAGATGGAAGCCTTAGGGGCTCCATCGGCGGTTTCCTATGCTTTTTCCCTATGTAGTGACTCGACATCCACAATTTCATTGACCATACAATCCTCCTGATACAGTTTTTACCCTTCACATTCGATCTGGAATTGTTGCTTTGAGTACATCTGCCCAGTCTGGTGATCCAAAACTTTGAGCCACTCTGTTCAATTCCATAGTTCTGCCTGCGCTCTGCTAGGCGCTATGCTGCATTAAAAACACCACTCCTCCTCATTTGCCGCCTAGTCACTAACTTCTGAGGCTCAGATACTCCCTATGTGCTCGAACATTTCATCGTAATCACCTATTCAGGCTGCCTCCTATACCACTGTTACTGCACGGCAATTTTCACTTGGCTTCGGCACCATCGTCTTCGCCTATGGCGGTCATCCAGTGTTTCCCACTATTCAGCATGATATGGCTAAACCACGGCATTTCACCAAGGCTGTTATTTTAAGCTACATTGGTAAGTCATTAACGCGTTGACGACATCGCGTGTTTTGGCATTTTGCACCGCGTGGGACAGGAGCGATTTTGCGAGCGCGCCGTCCTCACCTTACTTACGCTTATTTTTTGTTAAAATGCACAACAACTTGAATCTCATAGAATTATTTCGGCAAGGATGAAAGCGTGGAGGTTACCTATATAAATAGCAGTAGAATCCTGGATATAATGACCACGAAAAACCAGAAAACATCCACTTTCGCTGCGAATGAAGTAAAAAGCATTTACTCCAAGTTTTTCCATCAAATACAAATATTTGAAACTCACAGAGTTTTATTAACTGCTTCTACAATCTTTCATATGAATGTTTACGAGTGAAAGGAATACTAGGAAAGAATTGAAATGAAAGTTTTGTGCGTTCAGAAAATCTTTGCTAAATCAAGGGATATTTGACCACTCTGGCTGCCATGTGGTTTATAGTTATGCTAATGTATTATCTATAGAATGAATACAAAAAACTCGAGAAGAAGGAGCGCAAGCACTAAAAATGAATGACATAGTTCTGACGCGCATGCGCGTCAGCCTGTCGTCAAC